GTTCAACTCCGTTTATATTTTTTTCACAGTCATTAAAATCCCAGACACACGTGCTCGTATGTATTTCCATGCGTGGAAGCTTGTGAGGGTGTAAGGAGAAGAAAAGCGAAAAAGAAAGACATATTGTGTGAATTTCTACTTGATGTCAGTGTGCGTAAACTGCTGCTCACCTGGCATCTGAGCGCCCTTCTTTGTCTGTTGCTCCAGATTTGCAGTCATACACTAAGGCGGCCAGTGCAAAAGCAAAGCAGGCTTTGAAGTGTGAAAATCAAGCGTCTTAATCATTGTTCCCCTGTTACCAAAATATCTCTGATTTGCTTCCTTGGGTTATTGACTTTCCAGTCTAGTGATTGTGTTTCAACGTCTACGTTAAATGCTTAATTGCTATCGTTTTAACACGCACTAGGCACAATGTAGGTGAAAACTCAGCATGGATGGAGAAAAGGCAAAGCAAAGAGTGGTACCGTGGAAATGGAGGCAGGAAGAGAAAAGGAGAAAAGAAAATGAAGAAGTAAATAGGAAAGAACAGAGAAGTTCAGTGCAATTTACAATTTGGCGAGATAGTTAATGACTAACAAAATGAATTCCAGTTGCATAAAATGTATATTGGTGACTTTTTGTGCCAGCCTTTATATGACATCTTACAGTAGTTTCTGTTCTCTTTCAACTGAACTGTTCTTTACAAATTTGCAAGAACAAGTTCTTATTCTGTGGACCGATACATACACATGTATGCAAGATCTTTTGTTGGACTCTCTGCTTGATTTGTTTCTGTCTGCACACTTTATGCAATATCGAGAACCTGCAACCAAGGGATAGGGAAATGACTATATCATTTTTGTACGTGGTATACAGAACCTGTGAAATAGATATGTCTTTAAATGAACGTTCTTTATACGGGGAATTCTCTTCTGCAAAGCATCTGCATGGCATTTGTTAATTGTGTTACTTCCAGTGTCTTTTGCTTTTCATTGGGTTTGGGGTATTTTGGCTCTCCAGAAGTATTACTGCCTTTTCATAGCTAGATAGTAATCCTCTTATCCCCAAGAGGATCAGTAGACTGGGCCAGGCTGGACATGGGTTAATGCTGCCCTAGTTAGCATAAAGCTGAACGTTTCTTCTAAGACTTGCTTTGTGGCTGTTTTTCTGTGTCTAGCCATGAGTCCTCCTGGTTTCCTTGGCTCAGCCCGTCTTTGATAGTGATTTGTTGCTTGTTTTGGTGATCCCTCTGCAGAAAGAGAGAATGCTTCAAAGATTTGTCTTTGAAACTTTTTCAGTCCTTAGGAACAGAAAATCCTCTTATGACTGTTCCAAGTGCAATGGGAGTTAGGCTGATGGGGCCTGCAGATAGCAGTCTTGTGTGTTATAGTAACCCATACTATAAAAAAGTTGGAGAACTAAAAATCAGTCTGTGTTTGGGCAAAAAATACTTTGTTTATTTCTATTAGCTAACCCTTTTTTTAATTCACAAACTATTCTGAACTGAATTAGAAACCAGCAAGTTATCGCAGGATAACTATTTTGACTGAGTATTTTCTCATTCACTTAATTTTGATGGAATCTCCAAGAACAATTCCCTGCAATTAATCCTCTACTTCTATCAACATGTAGATAGAAAAGAAAAAAAATACAGCTAGAAAAGAGAACATAACTAATTCTATTCCAGTGTTCTTTATTTCAAATAACTCTGCTCTTGCACTTTGTGAAGGTGAATAGTTCCCTCTCCAACAAACGGTGCAGTCCCACACCAGGCCTCTTTCCTATTCATCAAACATCACCTTAATCCTGACTGAGGTAATTTTGAATTGAATTGCTTACTTACGTGTTTTCCTCTGTGTCACACAGTGTCTGATGAAGCAGGTCAGGACTCGTTTTCGGCAGTATGTCACTGATGCGATGCAACGAGTCTCAGTCCCAACCAGTGTTGTGGAATAGTTCACACTATCGGAGACTGACTGTGTCTGTGCATGAATCAAGGGACAATGTAGAACTTGTCCTCCTAAGAAAACAGTTTGCTTATTAAACTTTGTCTGATGAGAAAATGTGTTTTATGTTCACATGCTTATCAAAGTTTCTTAACCATTTCGTGAGCACAGAATTTGGGAGACAGTAGAAAGCCATAAGATTTGCATGAAACTAAACCAGAATCTATCTGAGAAAATAATTAGGCTTGGAGGAGAGGTTTTCCTTTGCAGGATGTTTCTGGAAAGGAAAGAAAAATAGAACTAATGGATAAGTAGAGTCTCATATTCCAGGCTCTTGTCTGTGATTGTCTAGAAATTGAATTAACCTCTCTCCTGTGCATATAATTTAAAATGTAACTTAGGAAAGGCTGAACAGAAGTTAGGACTCTGAAAGCCTAATAAGTAGAAATAGTAGCAGAGGTTGTCATGCCAGGAGAGGGGAGGACTTTTGACAAGTGAGGAGAGGAGGGGAAGAGGGGGAAGAGAATTGTTAATTTTGGCAGTCAAGCTGACAGAATAGATTTGTCTCCGAGTTGTAAAAGTAGGCCAAAGGGGTCTACTGAGTAAACAAATGGAAGTTTGTTTGTTCCTTCCAAAAATTATACTTTCTGTGTGCACAGTTTGGGCAAAACAGAAGATATAAAAAGGAAGTTATTAGTCTTTTGATTACAGAAGACAATCACATATGATTTTAATGCCACTATCAACATTTTTTTGCCTTCCGGAATAAAAGATCTGTTGTTCATAAACACAAAGGACTTGACCACAGTTCTTGGTATTATTAAGGGGAAATGTCTTAGGTGTAAATCTGTTAGGCTTCTTAACTCTGCATTCTGAGATAAGCATGACATTTCAAGTTTTACTATCTAATACTTTTAGAAGAAAGTTTTGTAAGCTTTTTCTTTTATTATTTCTTTTAATTACATGCAGTTCACTAATAGGAAAAAAGAACAATGAAATTGAGGCAGTCTATTTCTAAAGACTTGTCACTGATTGCTGTTGTGTGGTATTTGTCACCCTGTAGCATTCCATGCTCTTCCTAAATAGATAGGGACGGGTTGCAATGCCTTGGGATTACTCGTTTTTTGAGAGGAAGGGGAAAGTCATCTCATGGGAAGGAAGAAACTTTAATTCTGTAGTATTACTAGAATGTAACTTCAAATATTATCTCATAAACATAGAATCATCATAGAATCATAAAATGGTTTGGATTGGAAGTGACCTTGAAGACCATCTAGTTCCAACCCGCCTGCCATAGGCAGGGACACCTCCCTCTAGGCCAGGTTGCTCAAAGCCCCATCCAGCCTGGCCTTGAACACTTCCAGGGAGGAGGCTTGCACAGCTTCTCTGGGCAACCTGTTCCAGCGTCTCACCACCCTCACAGAAAATAGTATCTAATCTAAATCTACCCTCTTTCAGTTTGAAAACTTTGCCCCTTGACCCGTGACTACCCTTCCTGATAAAAAGCCCCTTCCCAGCTTTCCTGTAGGCCCCCTTCAAGCACTGGAAGGCAGCTGTAAGGTCTCCCTGGAGCCTTCTCTTCTCCAGGCTGAGCAGCCCCAACTCTCTCAGCCTGTCTGCACAGGGCAGGTGCTCCAACCCCTGACCATCGTTGTGGTCCTCCTCTGGACTTGCTCTAACAGGTCCATCTCCTTATTCTGGAGGCCCAAAACTGAAGAAAAAACACCAAATTATTTTTGGTGCCAGTTTTTAAGTCTTTTAAAATTAATTTTGAAAAATACCATCATCTATTAATTTGAATTGAGTCTCCATGAATATCTGTGGTTATATCTAAAAAATTAAAATCCTTACTACATTAGGAAACTCAAAGTGTCTCGAGGGAAGAGAATGAAAGATCACTTTTGAAGCTTGCTGTCAAGAATTACTCACTTTGTCTTTATCCACACCACAGCAAGATTTGAATTTTGAGATGATGGAAGAGTGAAGGGATGGCAGAGAGAGAATATGCAAAAGGACAGATTAGGATTACAGAGAGAGAGGAGGGCATGGAAGAGTGATAAAAATCAGAGTGAGTTTGTGGGACTGCAGCTCAGAGAGATTAGGCAAAATTTGCTTTCAAGACATAATAGTGAAAAATTTAAAAACAGAAGGCTGTTCTCTAATGATTTTCCTTTAGTGACTCACCCAACTACCATCTCTTCCAAAAATGCATAGCAGCCCCTTTAAAAACAGAATTATGTACTTCTTATACATGCTGGGCTGCTAGAGATATGGATAAATCAGGGAGCAGCCTAGGAGAATAGGATTTGCTGATATGAGAGAATTAAAAAGAAAAATTACGGAAGCTGGTACCTGCATGGACGCAGTGCAGGCTGAGAACACGGACTAGCTCTTCGGGAAGCCTGTGCTGGAAAACACATGGCTGACCCAACATAAGCAAAACAGATTGTGCTTTATCTAGTTATAAATTACCCCAGATAACTGTCTGTTTGACCTGTCCTTAAACCAGGCTCATTACTGGGACATACCTTTTTGGTAGTGGAACATGTATTATATACCTATATAAAAATTCAGGGCTAGGAAACCAATTTCTGTTCCTGATCTATGGCAGGAGTAAACCTATTTAAAGTTCAGCCATATGGAACCTGGGCCATGGGCTTTTATTAGGTTGACTGGGCATTACAAGCAGAGATCAAACATCCTGTGTGGAGAATCAGTGAGTATTAGGAAGAAGGAAGTAGCAAGTTAAATTAGACTGTGGTCAAAGTAAACCAGTGTATAAAATGTGCAGAAAGTATTAATTCTACCAAAAGAGGACAGGGAATAGCTTTAAATTATAGGTGGGTACCATTTTTTAGGGTGCAGAAATGTCTCACTGTCTTTTAAAAAAAATTTACTCCAGCAAGTTATTTCTTTGCAAATGTCATTAAACGCTTCAAAGTCCCATGTGCTGATTTCAGTAGCAATTTAGATTTTTGTAGTAGAGTGTAATGTCTTCTTGTGTGCAATGAACCTGATCCAATCTTTTATGTTCTTTTTTTTTCCTTTGTCTTTCTAAATGTGTGTGGGCTGCAGATGGTTCTGTGAAGGAAAAGAACTCCAGAATACCCCTGACATTCAGATCTGTTCTGGAAGTGGAGGACTTCATTCCTTAATTATAGCAGAAGCCTTTGAAGAAGATACTGGACGCTATACTTGTCTGGCTTCAAATTCTATTGGTTCAGATAGTACATCAGCTGAAATATTCATTGAAGGTAAGAGGTGAAATAATAAGATACTTGACACATACAGGAAAAGACCACTGAGCTGAAATTCACTTTCACTTCTGTATGTTAAGATTACATTTTCCTTTGGTGATGTTTTTATGGTGCTCCTCTGCTTACCTTTAATGTAACATATTTTGAACATCCCATTGTATTAATTCAGGCATTTCAAGGAATTTCTGAACTTCCTTTCAGTGCTGTTAAATGTGCCAGCCCCAAATGAGTCTTTTTCAGTCATGGGTAAATATATTACAATTCTTCATATTTGGTAGACCAACTTTAAAGTCAGGTTAGAAGTCAGTCATACTGGTTTTGTCTAGAATTGTCAACATATTTCTTGACTTCAAAATTAGTTGTAATGCAAGTATTGTATTCACTGAGAAAAGTTAATGACTTAGCCGTGAGTAAAATTATTAAATTATTTTTTTAGTGGAGGACTATTTTAAGCACGATTGCTGATTTTTATTTTAATTCATGCATCTTTCAAGCATTTTGGTTATATGTATTCTTTAACCAGTTTTATAACTCATTAAAATTAATTTACATGTTTAATTGAGAGCATAAAACAAATTTATAGAAGGAATATCTATATCAAATCTGAATAATGCCATACCAAAATAATTATGTAGCTTTTGATTAACAAAGAAATAAACTCTTCACTGTAAGATAGTTAAATCGCAACAGATGTGTATTTGTAGGGTTTCTTTAATTATGGTTTTTATTCTCATAACTTTGTTATCCCACATTGGGATATGACAGCAAAATCCTCAAGACTTTTCTGAATCTTTCATATTCTAGTAAGACTTTTCTTTACAGCAGTAAGCATGATTTCAGAAGAAGTCAAGTATAGTACAAATATAACACTGTGTGAATTTATAGTAACAGAAGCAACACTAAAGAAGAAACAACTAGGTAGAGAGATACGGTGAATAAAACAATTCATTTCTTGAAGTATGGCAAAGTCTTACTCTTGAAAGTACTATCTTGAAGTTTCATAACATGCGGCTTGTACAAGTCATCAGACTCCCTTCCATGATCTTTAAGGAAACCAGATTTTCACAGGAGCGTTTCTTTGTGCGTTCATGGTCTTGATAACACTGGTGCCACATACTTCTGTGCAGACCTACAGCTCTGCGTGTGTATGTGCAAATCCTCTCCAGAATAGTGCGTACTGCATAAGTGCCTAGAATAAAGGTTGTGTGAAGTATCAGTTGTTAGGAAAAATTAAGGAGAGGGGATAAATGTTTTCATGTTTTTGTCTTTAAGTGAGTTCAGGGTATTGCCAAACACATACATTATATCAAGACTTCCACTGGCAAGACTTACTGGTACATAAATTTTATGTGTATGTTAATATAAATAGTTTGAACTGTGGAGATCATGGATAGTAAGTTTAGTCTGAAAATGTCTGATTATGCTGAGTCGCTCTTACTTGAAGTTGAAGATATCTTGTCTGCGAATAAGCCATATGCTCACTTAAGCTTGAAGTTTTAACATTCAAGTAAATAAAATCATATGTTTCCAGTAGAGTAGTAGTAGTAGTGAGTTTTTTCTTTTCTGACCATGTTTGCTTCAATATGAAGCAAGACAGCTAAGAGCCTAGGGAAAACAGTTTGCACTTAAATTGACATGGTTATGATTTCTGTAGTTGTCTAAAGTACATAGTTAAAATCTCTCATCAGATAAGAAAAACTACATTGGTTTATGACAGACAGTTCTCAACTCTTGAAATGCAAAAGTAGCACAGCTTTTTTCTTTGGAATGCAAACATTGAATAGATCAGTAAAAGGATATGAGATTATTGAAAAAACTTTCTTTTCCAGGTGCCAGTTCCACAGATTCAGAGAGTGAAATTTTAATTTTCAAATCAAAATCTGGAGCTATGCCACAGTAAGTGTGCAAAGTAGAACCAATGCCATGCAAATGTTTTTAATAAGGGGCACTGGAAAATCTTTGGTAGTTTTAGATCTGAATAAATATTTGGAGTATATTTGTGTGTGTCTTGTCTTTTCTTCTTTTCTCATGTAATAGAAACGTGTAGTATTACAACTCTGGATTGTATTAATGTGCTTGTTCTGTCCAAGAAGTCTGTCTTGATCCTGAAAACACTTTTGATGATATCAATTTTTCATATTCCAGAGTAACTTAACCAAGTCTTCGTTTGTCATCACCCAGCCCTGTGCCTCTGACAAAACATGCAGAGGCCTACAATTAAATAAACAAAATATGTTTTAGTTTGTATCTTAAATCGCTACTTTTTATTGGGTGTGAAACTGTAAATTAGCCAAAGATTGTGTTTTACTCAAGCTTCCTCCAGTGTTGATGTTTTCAGCTGATAATGACAAGTTTAAAGATGTAGAAAATACAGGGTGGCTTGCTGGTTACAAACTAACATATTCTGATTTCAGATCTTATAAAGTGATTGTTATTTTGTTGGGTTTTTTCAGGGCCCAGAAGAAAACCACGTCTGTTTCCCTAACAATAGGTTCTTCTACACCAAAGGCTGGAGTCACCACAGCTGTAATTCAGCCTATTTCTGTGCCCAGTCAGCAGGTATTTTTTAGACATAATTTTTTTAATTAGTAAAAGTATTTTAAATTTTATTTCAAAATTTTTAAGTCTGGAACAACTCTGTCATTTTGAGGAATTATATTATTGAAATATAAATGTATTTTTTAATCACCATTCTTAATATATCTAGTGAATGGGGCATGAAACTAAATACACATACGGATTCTTACGTGCTGTATATCGACACAGCATGTGAGCAGCCGATAGATCTGATGATGATGAAAATTGCAGAGTATATCACTTAAGAGTGACTTGGTCCATTTCCAAAAGAATTAAATACAAATAAATGCCTGCAATATTTTTTAGCAAAAAATTTAAATTCTCTTGCTAAATTAAATATTGCTGTAATACTTTGGGCCTTTCAGAAAAAAATGAATTTTACAACCTAGAAGTTAAATGTAGAAAATCAATGTTTATTAGTTCATACTAAGTTTTATTGCGACTGTGGATGACTTAAGAGTTTGCATGTAAATCATAAAATACAAGTTAAATAAAAGTCTCTGTTAGACTGTGCATGGTAAATTCTTTTCCCTTCTTTTGGCTAACCTTGATAAGCTTTTAAGTATCTGGATTTATTTATTACTACATCAGTCAAGGGATGTAATAACAGGAGGGGCAAAAATGCTTCAGTGCAAAGGACTTACTTGAATTATACTAACAGGAGTCAAACTCTTAAAATACTTCAAGGCAAAGAGAGTTGAATACAAAATTCTCCTGGGAAGTAGAGAAGCCTCCAAAATGTGCATTTTGATTTCAGAAGTATAAAAGACACAAACTAATTGTGTTAAGAAGCATACTAGAAGGAGAACACCATTATAAGACCGTGCATTTGAGAGTTTGCATTTTTTGTGGATATATACAGGCTATTTTATTGAAACCAATACTCTTTCCATTTTATTCAGTTGTTGTATTGCTCTGCAGGTTCAAAGCCCTACTTCACACCTGCATCGTGTGGATGGAATGAAGTCTTCCTTTTCTGCACCCATTTTTACAAAGGTATTTTTTATCCATCATGGGTTTTGTATCATACTCCTATAGTCTAGCAGGAAATATCGAAATGATATACCCTAGTGCAGGAATGTTTGATTGTCTTAAAATTTTTACAGTTTTCATGATCCTTTTCAGTATGAATTACTTCCTAGGAAAACACTTTTCTACTCCAACAATGAAGTTCTTACATATTCTACCCTGCTGAAATCACTAGTGGAATTACGTGAATATTCTCTGTGTGTTTGTCTTATGCCCCTGACTGTCCTCCATTGAGAAATCTTTGTAAAATAAGACAAAGGCACCAGTTACACATTGTAGTCATGATAAAGCCTCATTCATAGTAATTTATCTGCTGTGAACAAATAACACAGGCTTTTTACTTTGTTTCAGAAAATCCATGAAGGTATGTTAATTTAAAAAGCAATTCAGATCTTCTCATTGGGATGTCTTGTAAAAATGTAAGGCATGGACTTGCTAGAAGTGATATTTTTTTTTTAATTATTAATTATCAAGTGATTATTTAAGTCAATATTTATCAAGTTCAACCTAAATGACTCTTTAGAGCTGGGAATTAGATAACATAAAAAAGAAGGAAAGCCTGTTTCTCTAAAATACATTTCATACTCAAACCACTGTTTCTGCAGCAGTAACTATTATTTAGTCACCATTTCTTGACTCTAAATGAAGAAAAGAAAGTATTTCTGGTTATTACATCAGAAAAACAACTGACTAAAAGCTAATATGGAAGAGGAGGTAGTTCTGCCTAGAGCTAAGGAAGAGTAATGGCTGTTCTCCACAACTGCCTAGCCTGGCTCCATCAGATCCCTTTCTCTTGTCAGAAAAGGTCTAATTCTATCCCTCATAATCCTGTGCTGATACTGCAAGTTTCACAGGAGAGTGATTAGCGGCAGTGCAAGGGGTTAGAGAATGTGGTTACTGCACAGTAGGGAGGCAGGTAACTTGCTGGTGTGAGGGTGGGGAATAGGAGAAAGCCAGTACTTATTGAGAAATTACCAGAACAATCCAAGCTCCACTGTTCTTTCCTGATCCTTATAGCTCTTGTCCCTGAACCCAGTATTAACTGGCTTAAGCCATTTGGGACATGCCAAACCAAAAGAACTTCAATTACAGAAGAAATTAACCAGATATGAACAACAACAAAAAATATTTATCCATCTTCCTGACACAAATTTCTTTCCTTACAAACTTCAGGGAACAACCTGAAGAGTTTTATGTTTCCATATAACAGAATTCTTATGTAATTGGTTAACTAGAGATCTGTGAATAGTAACTAGGAATAACTCTGATCTTAGACCTAACTTCAGGCTGCATCAAGACCTAAAACTAACTTAACAAACTTGGAAGAAAAATGAGACAGCAAGAAGAGTTAAAAAGATTGACTGATTTGCGATCTTAAAAAGGATAACAAAAGCAAAAATTATGGCTGTCTCCTGTCAATTCCACTACTTTAAGTTCTGTGCTTCTCCCTTCTCACCATAGCTTTTCAGCAAAGGTTTAGACTCTTCCTGAAATTTTTTAAATACATATACAAATTTATTACAGCCATAATACTGTCTCAGAAGCTATCCATACACAAGCTAATCATATTTATGTCATCTATTTTTGCCTAGCTGGTTATAAATGGCTCAGAGGAAAAGCAACTCCACATTCTGGAGGTTGACCTGAAGGCAGCACAGCTACTCACTTGAGACGAAGTCAATCAATGTGTAGCTAGTTGCCAGATTTTTCTTTCGCTCTGTGGAAGGATGAATAATGAAAGGTTGGACTGTGACTGTCTGCCTGTGATAGTCTGAGGAATTAAATACTTCTACACCTTTTCCATATTTGGTCATATCAAGAAAGTATCAGAAAATATGCCATTCAGTCATTTTTAACTATGTAGCTGATATATTAAATCTAATCAGAGTGAAAATACAGCTCATAGAAAATACTTATTGCAAAAAACATAACAACACAATAAAACAAAGCTGAAATACGAAGGGAACAAAAGACTAAGAATGCAAAATGCTCCTGGTTCATTTGAATTGTGATTGTTATATTTCAGGAGCTACAGAACTCCACAGCCTCGGAGGGACAAGTCGTGGTATTGGAATGCAGGGTCAGAGGCCTCCCTCCTGTTCATGTTAAGTGGTTTCGACAGGGTGTTGAAATTCAAGATTCTCCAGATTTCAGAATTCTCCAAAAAAGTAAGGCAATAATCTGAAGTTGCTACTTTTGATACGAAGTGGGGCAAGATCATGAAATTAGCCTGTCAGGATAGAGTTTTGGATAGAGTCCTCTCTTCCTCACGTTTCACTGATATGATGACTCGAAGTAATAACAAAACTGCTGTTACCAACAGACAGTTTGTGTCTTCCTTTTTTTATAATGAATTTGCACAGATTCTGTACTTGTCTACAGCATTTCAGAATAATATGTTCATTCGGTTTATTAATGTAATCTCTAATGCCATTTTTCTTGTCTCTTTCTCTTCCTTATGATGTGATATGCAGAGCCACGATCTGCAACTGAACCTGGTAAGAATCATATGAAAAAATAATCTCTTGATTCACTAGCTCTTTGAGCTTGTACTGAAGCCATAAATAGAAACGTGTTTCTGCTGAACATTGGTAATATGAGATCCCCTTAAAGACAATGTTTCTTTATCACACCTTCTGTATTCTACACTGTCCTTTACATCAATTCCTTTATTAGTTAAGCAGTAAATTCCATTTTGACCAGCCAGGAGAGTCTCACAGCTTAAACTCTGAATCAATCTCTATTCTCAGAAAATGAGCAATATGCATACTACTGAGGAAAAAGAACAAATCCCCCAAAATTCCATTACCCAAATTGTACTCATAAGAGTTTCATAACACCCAACCACTAAATGCTAGCTTTGCCAATCTAGCTTGGCAGATGTAAAGCGTGTGAAACTCAGGTAGAAGCTGATCCTCCAAACTAAGGGACATTGAATTTTTTTTCTAGCCTATTCACAAGATAAAAGTCCTAGATTTCAGCAAGCGAAAAATGTTCTTCCAGCTACAGATTTTCTCTGGCCACTTCGTTTTCCCACTATACCTTATTATATTTTGTGGTAGTTTCTTGAATAGTAAGTAGATGCTAAAGACTGAAACTGGTTGTTCTTAATGTTTCTAAGTCAAACAGCGCATAGAGGAGAAGACGGTGGTATGGTCTGAGCCTTGCTTTAAGAGGGTGGCTGGTTGTGCTTGAATATGCTTGAATTTAGAGGGGTTTAGTTATGGAGTAGAAAGCTAAAGCAGAAAAGTTTTCCGAGGCCTGAGTATTCCCAAAGAGTGTCTCTGAGCTGAAGGACCAGGGGAAGTTTCATGGGCAGTCTTTGACCACAGGGAGAATGAATTTAGCAGCTGAGTGATGTTTGTAAAGCAGCCGTGCAGCTGTGAGGATACGGACTAGGAAAAAGCAATGAAGGGTTAATCCTAGGAGAAATGCACCTTTCTTTTAGTTTTCAGGGAAAGAAGAGGAGGTGAAGAGGGGAGAAGCTTCTGCTATTCTTTGTCAGGTAATCGCTAATTTTCCTGCTGCTTCACAAAATTGTCATATACCTATTTTATTTCATGACCATCATGCATATACGCACGTGCATGCAAACACACGTGTATGCACACACATGGATGCGTGCTCTGTCATGACAGTCAGTATTATTAATTGTGGCATGCAGGATTGTCAGCTCTAGTAACAGCTGATGCCCAGAATACACGTGACTGATTGTTTTGTTTTATGGTAACTTGAAATGTGAGCCACGTGAAGGAAAGAATTGTGCTGGAAAACCAGATTAACGTCTAATGAGAGATTAAAACATGTGTAAGTGTTAACATTGGGTTATTGGTAGTTCATATTCGCAACACAAACTTTAAGGTTTAAAAATTGGAAGTTACAGTGCAAAACAGTTTGTAGAGAGTTTCATTATCATATCAAGCCTTTGGATATTAAAAGACATAAAGGAGAATAGATTCATGTTAAATTATGTTAAAATCTGTATCTTTCTTGGAGACATTCAAGATCAGACTTGATGGGGCTCTGAGCAACCTGATCTAGTTAAAGATGTCCCTGTTCACTGCAGGGGGGTTGGACTAGACGATCTTTAAAGCTTCTTTCCATCCCAAAACATTCTGTGATTTTGGTGTAGAATGCAGAGTTATCTAGTATAAAGGAGAAGTACTTGTTTGCTTGAGACAAAAGCTTCAAATTGCATTGTGTAAATAGTTCAGTAGAAAGGAAGTAATCTATTGTGTCACTTGATGGAAGATGTGTTTTCATGGACAACTAAGTAATTTTCAGTATTGTTAGTAGTAAGGTTCATTGCGAGCTTATCTGACAGATGTAACTGTGAAATAACTAAGAACATTCATGATAGCTCATAAAGCTAACAGTTTCCTTTCTTAACTAATGCCTGAAATAGAAGGTAGGTGGCAAGACAAAACAAGTAGGAAAGCATCTCAAAATACTATTTTGGTATCTGTGTTGCTGTGGTTTAATAGACATAACAGTAGTGAATGCCTGACAGCAGTCTGTCTTTTTTTTTTCCTTTCTTTCTTTTCCTTTCATGCTTGTAATTCTGTTGTAATACATATAACCGTTTTCACGCTACCCAAAACCTATGAAAGAATTTCAGTTTGGTAGTTTGTTCTACCTGGACTCACTGAGATAAGAACTATTCCCATTAAATAATGTGCTGCATCTTACTCTCTGCTAAAATTAATGACAGTACACTTACTGGCTTGTTTGTATAGTAATTGTCTCTGTGCATGCAAAGGGAATGTAAATAAAGTTTGGGCGAGATGTAAATATTTTCTTTTGGCATAAATGAGCAACATTTTCTGTATTAGTAGTATTACTGGTAGTAAGTACCACCAGTTTTTAGGATGTCATGGAGGATGTGAAAACTTCTACAACAGGAAGCTGAGTGGGGAGCAGAAATGTGATAGATATAGCACTAGTTTGTGATGCAGTTCATACTCTAAAGAAGCCAGAAAAAAACAATGCCTGCAGAGGAAATTTTTCATAAGCAAACATTCAACTGCTATTTAGTGCGAATTATGAATATGTGTGAAAGATTGATAGGGAAACCAACGTGCCTGTGCTAGATAAGTATTCAGAATTTTGAGAGATGGACAGGATTTCCAAAACTTTTTCCAAACCTATTATTTCCACAGAATTTTATGTAACATGTTGTAGTGTGACTTTAATTGCTGGTTTTCAACCAAAGTTCAACACTTAATAGTGCTCAAAAACATTGGTTAGCCTTTGCTAAGTGAGTAGTAATGATTTAAAAGAAAAATATTCCATGAACTCATGCAGGTAAGAAATTAAGAAGCAAGGGGGATTTTTTTGGCTACTTTTTTTGATACATTCTATCTACCCTAATGTGTTTTGCACTCCTTTTTCTGTCTAGACAGAAATCGATTTGCATCACAAATCTCTCCAGAATGCTTTGTGAATTAATAGCTAGTCAGATTACTTGAAGCCAACATCGCAGTTTGTCAAATTACCTGCTCTGTGCTTCTTTCTTGGACATTTTGACTTTATACTGATTGAATCCTTCAAAGAATAGGCTGCCTGAGAATGAAAAATCCCATGGAGTCACTTGCCAGCTGTTGATATTTTGACCATTACTCAGCTGTCTGGAGGCAGCCACAAACTGTATTGAATTACATTAAAACAATTGTCTAAAGGCATGTTAGAAGAAACCTATATGAAGTCATTTTCTTGAATTGCCAGGGAATTGCCACATATACATGCTTTTTTTCCCCTCAAGTACAATACTGTGCATGTTCACCAAAAACATCTCAAAAGATAGTCATCACTTCTCTTGGATAGTGCTTTCTTGTACCATGTTTGGCGACTGTGTTCCAGAGTTTCAGCTCTAGTAAGTAACTCCCTTAGAAATCCCCCCTATTTCTGCAGAACGTTTGAAACTGGAAATTTGTGGCAAATGTTATGGAAATCCTTACTGCCTCTGCATACCAAGAAAATCAGCTTTCTGATAGCTGGTGAAATTTAAAATACAGAAACTTCAGCAAGTCTGCATGCATGCTGGATCCTTGCATTTTTTAGTGAAAACAAAAGAATTATGGCTAAGAGTCTGGCTCCCTCTTTCACTGCCAAGCAACAAAGAAGGGCTTGAAGAGAACAATCTCCAATGAGCTACAGCTCAAGATGCAAAAGGAAGAGAAAAACTGAGAACAAAAAAAAAACAAGAAAAACTGAGAATAAAATTATCCTCCACTAAAAGTGGTCTGACCAATATATGCACTATTACTGGTCAGCTACATTTCGGTTGTGCTCGGCCATCTCAAGGTACCTACAGAATTCTGGTCCTGATAGTGACCCCATCTTAAGTCTGACCGCTAGGACTGTCCTTGCTTGTTGATGCTTCCAAATTCCAAGTAAACATCTGATTTTTTAAAAAAACTGCTGCTATTCCTCTTCATTTATTTAAAGCTTATTAATCCTCACAGTTACTCTGCTAAATATGATTTCAGTTTTGATGTGTGCATCTGGCTTAACTTCAAACTAGCTGGCTTAGACATCTACAACATCGTACCTGTAAGCTTTAGCATAAACTTTTCTTTGACTGTGATAAATGGCTTAACTTCTCCCAAACCTGCTTTAGGGACTAAAGTTCATTATGCCAGAGGAGCATTGCTGTTTACTGTAACTGAGCTGGTTAAGGGAGAGGCCCTCTTGGGTATTATGTATGCTGTAACCTAGGTTCTGTACCCTAAAACTGCATTATACTGCCCACAATCAGAGGCAGAGTAAGTGACAAGTTGTCTAGAAGATGCCAGCATTGTGTTTGGTTGGATTTTTACCAGCAAACCGCTGCTGTGACTACTCACCGGGTTTGTGTAGCAGAAAGCTTACAGCTTTGAGCCTACTTCTATAGAAATAGCTCTGCTCATTGCATCATAACGAACAACTACCGATAAAAGACCAGACTCACTTCACAGGACTGTGTGTGCATTACAGAGGAGGAAGCTAAGGATCACATTTGGAGATGAAGGTGCACATATAAGAACTATTCCACCTTTAATGTAATAAATTGAAATATTCTGAAGTAAAGACATTACCAGTGGTGAAATTTGTTAAAATGCAACAGTTTTCTGTCGTACTAAAGATTCTTCTTCCTAATGGACTCATGTACCATAAAGGGACATGATTACTCTGTAAAATGTAATCTTTCTTTCTAAATAACTGACAAAATAGTCAAGTACTTGCATGCCTAAGCATTTTACATGTTTCAGTGAACAGAATGCTTTTGTACTCATTTAGTCAAGTGTTAAATATGTTTTAAGGCCCTGAGAACAGCATTTCAGAGCTGCTTTCTGGAACACATTTCTGTGATGAAATTATTTGTCAGCTGATGATTGCCGGGAAGTAGAACAGACATTATTTACTTCAAATCATCAGATTCTACTTAGCATGGTAACAGAAAGAAAAATAATTACGTAAGTCAGGATGTAAAGCTGAAAATTACTCAGAGTGCTATACATGCAGAGTGTGTTACGGGAATCTTTGAAGGATGTTTCTTTTGTCAAAATAGTATCTTCTTTCTATGCTTTTCACAGTAGTAAGATTTTTAGCAAGGACCTGGAGGTCAGTGATTCCTGGTTTGGGGGAAGCAAAATGGCTAAAGACAATAGCAATGTGTTGCTGACACATGCTCTTTGCCCTGGCTGCCTTTTGATTCTTAGGTTTTCTCATTATTTATCACAAATGTAACTTTCTCATCTGGTAGAGAAGACTATTTAAAGCTCTGGTTATTTTAATGGCTAATTTGATTTCAATTTCTTTTATAAGGATTACTGCAATTCACCGTGCGTAATTTTCAAATGTACCGCCTCAGTAAACAGACCAAATCACAGTAGGATCCATTAGAATTCTTTTATCACTGAAGAGTGAAGATTGTTGTACATATTTAAAGAACTATAATAACGTTATGCATTAATTAGCTTTGCTGTTTGGAAGATACAAATTCAAAGAGCAGTTCTCAGCATGGTGGGAGGGATCATCTTTTGCAGCGCTTGAAATTCCCAGCTTTCGGAATTCTACTGTTAAATGAACAGGAAACTAGAACACGGCAAGTATCAGATTGCATCCCCAGAGTCGGTTCAGTCCAGGAGCATGCACATGTGGTTAACAATATAGCTTCAGCTGCTTACAACACACCAAGAGTAAAAAAAGCTGATCTCAGTAGTTCAAAAACTAGCTTGTGTTACCCATTACTTTCCTGATAAGACCTTTCATGAGTCATTAATCTTCATCTGGGTCAGATAAGATCCAATGTGCTACAGAATTACCAGACATGCCTCTTGCAGCTACACAGAATGACTGGTTTGTGTTGCCAAAAAAAAAAAAAAGCATGTTCTGCTGTCTGAAAAACAGCACTGTGCCAAGTATTTAGTTAGTTATTCATTTTTAACCCATTTCCAGTATAAGAAGGTTTTGGATACACTGTCATTTGGAATTGGAAAAATTCCGCCATTCCACAATGGAAATTAGGAAAGAAAAAGAAAAGAACTATTAAAAACTATTTTCCCTCTTTGAACTGAAAGAATTGAAGTGTACCTAACTGAATCTCTTCTACAAAATAATTTTCATGTGAGTTATTTGAGTCTGAAATATTTTTCCTAACTTTCAGTTTGTTTTTTTTAGCTCTATTCTATTGATTTTGTGATAATATGTGGGATTCTGTGTAAGTGTCCAAAATGCAAAATGTTGTTTGTTGGGGTTTTTTTAAGTGAAATGGAATTCTATAAAACTTCCCTGCTTTGATTCTGAGACTAGAAAATGGATATAAGTAAAAGAAGTTCTTAATTAATTCAGGAAACCCATGATGTAACATTGTCAAGGTCTAAATTTATCTAGGTATATTGTATAAGTACTAGAACTATTTAAATTAGCTATACTGTGAATTTTTAGTAAGATTAGAATAACATTATGAGTAGTGATAAAGTGATTTATTTGAAGAATCAGGAAAATAGGCCTAGATGTGCCCATTATAAATTACTGTGAGACCCAATCTGAAATACACAGTCCAGCTTTCCTACAAGTTTTCTGACTGAGGACATGGTACAATCCAAGCAGATAATATGTCATTTCAAAATAGAATGAGCAGATTTCAGACAGCCCTGGAACACCCTTGTGTCACCACATTCTGAAGAGTTTCTGGAGATGACGTTTTCTCCTATATTTTCAATTTATATATTCTCACTACTGTGCAGACAGACACAGAAATTACTTTCCCAAACTCTGCCTAAGGGGAATATTTATGCATATAGAGTTTTTAATTCCTGTCAGTTTATACAGGAAAGTTAATTGGTAGTGATGACAAAATACTTCCTGGTTTTACTGTGAATGGGATTTGATCTGAAATGTTGCATTCTGTACAGGAAACTTCAGGGAAAGAATGAATGATGTGACATGGTGTTATTTAGAGACCCAAAAAGAGCCTGCAAGTAATAATTGTTTCATGGAAACCAATACATTGATTTATATGTGCTAGTAATATCCTGCATAAAAAAAGAAGAAGGTCTTGAGCATGTAAAATGACAGACTTATGACTGCAAAATCCGTGTTCAGTACAGGCCCCTTTTGAAAACTTAGCTTGGCCAATTTACTTGTTTTAGATACAAAGTGATTTTCATTAAAACCACTTACATCCTAAGGTCTTCTGCAGTTCTTCCGGCATTTCTTTGCACTTTCTGGTGTCCTTCTAACATAAAATGCAAAAACCTTAACGGGTACTTTAACTATTTTATGATGCAGTTTATTTTTCTGTTTATTTCCAGAAGAGATATGTACCCTTGTAATTGCAGAAACCTTTCCTGAAGATTCAGGACTTTTCACATGCACAGCCACAAATGAACACGGTTCAGTGGCAAGCAGTGCACAACTAATTGTCTGCTCAGGTATGTGATGAAAGGATAGAGGAATTTTTAATCATAGCTCTTGGGTAATTAGTTTACCTGCAAAGTTATCAGCCTGTTTCCCTTGTAGAAAAGGACTGCCCTGACACAGGGGTTTTCTTATGTAAAGCAAGCTTTTTATTGTCTCGTTTCCTAGTTTAATATTCTTATTCATAGAAAATACATTTTTAAAATGTCTGTCACAAGCCTGGCAGAGTTCTGAGACTAGATGGCAGCAGAGGTAAAATGAAAGCAGATGAAATTATGCTACCAAAGGTGGCTTATTCTTTTTGTAAAATAAAAAACTGTGGCATAGTTGGTTCAGTTCTGTAATATGTTCACATTCAGATTCTTGTGGAATGTATTAATGTGGCTATCATTTCAAACATGCCATGCATACATACATCCTTCAGTGGTTTTAAATTATTTATTCTTAAGTGATGCTGATACTCCAGGAAGAGGAAATGTTGTTTCAGGTGTTTTTGTCCAAACTTGCCAATCTCAGTTAATGGCTGGATCCCTGAAAGGTTTAGAGGAATCCATAAGGTTCCTTATTTTGTCTTTTGCATGGGGCAAAGTCAGAAAGTGAATAGCCGGTCATGCATCTAATTCAGCATAAATTATCAACAACAGGTCTAGGAAAGTATCTGCATTGAACCACAGATGTTTCACCTTTAGCAAATTGAAAATACAGCGTATATGTACCATGTGCTTTGTTTATGAGTTGTCAGAGAGACATTCTTTTTTATTTCTTTTAGCCAACTCAGAAAGCTCTAGTCATGAATCACTGACAAGAGAATCCAATAGTGATGATTTCCATCATTTCCCACCACTTCCTGCAGTTGAAATTAGCTCTCTTGAGCTTCTTCCTAAGAAACATACAGAGACTCACAAAGCAAACAACACTGATCTGAAATCTGGTGTGACAGACCTTCAGCTCCAGCTCAATTCATCTGAGGAAAAGACAAACGGCATCCACCCCATTCATGGAGTAAATGGAATGATTAACAAGCCAAATGGTGATAAATCCATCCCACCTCCAGCTGTCTTGCTTTCACCCACAAAGGAGCCACCACCTGTGCTTGCCAAACCAAAGCTGTGAGTATTTTTTGTTTTGTTTCCTATAAACTTGGTATTTGTTGACAGCAAATTTTTGCCTGAAGCATTTCAGTGTTAGGCAAATAATGGATAATGACTGTGCCTGTCCTTTGAACAATCTCAGTGCATGATTTATGTCCCTAAGAGCAGAATACTAGAGAAAAGTGTGTTCTTTCTCATTGTGCAGCCCCAAAGGGAAGTACGTTTTATACACCAAATTGTATAGAAATTTTAAGGTAAAGTCACAGAAAATAAATAAATGGGAGTATCTGTTGCTCTGCACTTTATATTCTTAATCACTGTACCTAAATGTCGTAGTGGCCTCAGATTCTTGCATGCTGTTCTTGTTTCATCATTGGTTAGCTATCTCTATTCCAAATATTCTTAGTTTTGTGCAGTCAGTGGATATTCAGGTGTGTAATGTTTATGTATAACATGTAACTCATTCTGCTGTCAGCCAAATGACAATTGGTCCTTTGTAACTAAAAATCCAAAAATCAGGATCTCGAGGAGAGAGAAATAAGTGGAAAAAATTGTAGTAAGATTTTAGTCTAATACTATTTGTGATTATTAATGTAAGAGTGATCCTTTGCTGGCTGTCAACTTATAGCTCTATTTTAGCATTGCACAATCAGTTCTTTTCCATGTCCCTCAAGAATTTTTGGAGTTTGACAAAGGAACTAAAATGAAATTTTAGTTCATTTGTGTCAATAATCAGAAGGCATTATTAATTACAAAAATGTATTTTAAAAGAAGAATTAAGTATGGTCTTCAAGGTTAATGAGGTCATTTGTTTAATTATATGTATTATTTCACAGGATAACTTGCAAAATGTAAAATGCTGTTCTTTTAGCAGTTGTGCTGATATTAAGCACACAAAAACATGTGCTTGAGGCAGGAAACTAACAGGATTCTCTTTCTGCTCTAACCACTTTTTTCTTTCTGTTGCTGTCTGTCATTCTAAGCAATCTTTGACAACTGTAGAAGAGAAGGAGAAGTGGAAGAATCATAGACTCATAGAATGTGTTGAGTTGGAAGGGACCTTTAAAGGCCACCTAGTCCAAGCCCCCTGCAGTGAGCAGGGACATTTTTAACTAGATCAGGTTGCTCAGAGCCCCATCAAACCTGACCTTGAATGCCTCGAGGGATGAGGCCTCCATCACCAATCTGGGCAACCTGTGCCAGTGTTTCACCACCCTCAGAAGTGAAGAACTTCCTGACAGCTAGCCTATATCTACCCTGTTCTAGTTTAAGTAGAAGGACAGAGTGGTAGAATAACGGTATAGGTGGTGGTATTTGCTTGTACAAGAAGGAAGTTGCTGAAGATGGCAACTTGCAGATGATACGCGATGTGAAGCGGGCCAGCAGGTCCTGCACCCAACACATCTCTTGCAAGATCCATTTGCGAAGAAAGGATATAGTGGCTCTAGCAGAGTAATAGAAGGAAAATTTTACTCCAGAGCTTTCTTTCCCAGAAGTCAGGTTGCCCTAGATACAAGTAAGAAGTCTGTGTAATAGACTGCCCATTGTATGTTGCTCAGTGATACTTATGTAAAATTTGTATTGTTTTTAAACATAGAGTCAACATATGAACAGAGGCAAACATATACAATAAGGGCAGAGGGAAACTATTATAAGAATCCTTTTGGTTGCTGATGTCCAAATTGATGTCCTTGGAATCCCCAGTGCAATTGCACTTGAGTCTGGTATTTTGCCATTAACAACACGTGATGCACAAGAGACTGATCTCGACCGCAGTCAAGATGCGTGTTTTGCTTGGCCAGAGCCTGCATAAGTCAATGCCGCTGTCAGAAATAGAAATCCAGCTTTCCCATCATCTGAGTATTTTGCTTGCAAGCATAGTGATAGCATAAGAAAAAGAAAGGGTGCTGACAGGAGGAGGAAAAGGAATGTCTGACTGCAGAGACTTGAAATCAGCTTTCAACATTTGGGAAACTACATCCCAAGTCAAAACTAACAAATTAGTTGCATTAAGATTAACTGCGTGGTAACATAGCTATCTCAACCATGAGTGATCTCTCTCCTGAAGAGAACTTATCTACGGCATTGTATCTGTCCATAGAGTATTAGTATTTGATGATAGAAACAGCATATATTAGCAATGGCATAACAACAAACATATTTATCATAACTTTTTTTGTTTAATTGTTTAAACATTTAAAGTAATGTTGGCTATGAAGAAAGCTTGAAGCTTCTGAATATCATTAGTAAGCTTTATCTTTTTGTGAAGGCTGACTCTCCACATTTCTTGAAGAACCTCTTACTTTCTTTTCAGGCTTATCCTAACTCATAAATTCCTTAGCAGGTTTATCTGTGAACTCTCTGAGAACAGTTTATTCAGCTAACACTGAAAGTAATTGCAAAGAGTTTAGGAATGGTGGGCTGGTTTTGATTTGGTGTTTTATTAATTATTGTTATTAGTCTTAGTTCAACAAGAAGGAGAGACTGAGTACCTTCTTGAAGTATGGAATATATTTACACCTTGGCAGTTTGAAGAGGTTGAACCATTGGTGTGCACTGGATATTTCCAGGCAATATTGGTGTACTGCACAGATAAACTTTCAGAAGCATCCCATACATGTGTGATGCAGATCTCAAAATTAGGCACATAAACATTAGTATTAATTTCAGTATGTAGTCTATGCATGAAAGTGCTGCTTAAAGCCCTCATTATCCTCAGTCTAAATCTGTGTAGAAAAGGCAGGACGCTGTTCTGTAGAACTGTACGCAATATGTCTATGGTTTCAAATTAAGAACTTCCATTCAATTGTTTGGTATTACTATTATTCTTCCATGTGACTGCTAAAAGCAGTAACAAAAGAGAAGATGATGTTTCTATGCTTATTGGCTGTACCTACCTGTGTGATGTTGATGTGCTCTGTAACAGGCCATCAGACTTGTGTGTGATGCTTTCTTACAAATCCTCAGTGTGTGGCTACAGTGCAGTGCCAGAATTTCCTGACCAGAGAGCTACTTCTCAGATGGCTTTATCCTCTTTGCTGAAGCATTACTACAGTTCGTCACATATAACAGTCAGGAAGAGTGTTAGCTCAGTGCAAGTCATTCTCTTCCATGCTTCTCCCTTGCAGAGACAGAGAGCAACTGTAGATATCAGTAGCCTTCTTTCTATAGTTAATCAAAAGAAGCTGGTGGGAAGTGGCACATCTGACACCTTTAAAATTAGCACAGCAATACCTGCCCCTGTGGAATGATTAACATTTTTTTTCACTGCATTTTTGTGAGGTGGTATTCTGCACAGGCATGCATCATGCATGCTGTGAAGAAGATGAATACACAGTATTCCTGAATTCCTGAATTCCATCTCACCCAGTTCTCTTTGACAATATTTTGTTGGAGGAACGGTTCAGAGAAAATGAAAGGCAAGTGTTAATGTTCTAAAAAGTATACCTGTTAAAAGCGAGAAGCAGTAAGATGTAATTTCTTGCAGTTTATGAAGTTGTTGATAATTAGTACTTCCTTCAACAGACATGACTACATTGTTTCCTGTTTTTTTCTGAGATTTTTGCGGGGGGTTAAGTGTATTTAAAAGTCTGCATTTTTAAAATAATGCAGAGAAGAAATTATTCATAAACATATTTTAAAAGATATCAAACAGTTTATACCTAACATTACTAAGGAAAAGCTGATAATGTAATTTAAATTATTTCTTAAAGGTAAGGAGTTAATCTGGCTGATTAACTTGCAGTCGCTGCTCTGTGAGTTGACAGAACTTAACTAAGAAATACTGGTTGTAAACGTGATACTATTTCTTGAAGTGAATTATCTGTTACTTCATGCTCCACTCCTCAGCAGCAGAGGGGATTTTTATGGTTTCATCTCTTCTGTACTCAATGCCTCAGACATTTTTGTAAAGATGTTAGTTCAGTCATTTCTAGAATGTCCTATATGCCCTTTATTAAAATGTTTATTTCACGGTTTTTCACTCATCACTGAAATTATTCTTAACTTGATCTTTCTTTCAGCAATTTGCTTCATATTGAACTTTCTTGTTCTTTTAGTCATGTACATGCTATGATGTTTGCAATGCCTGTTCTGCCAGGCACCGAGTTTTGAAAATAATGCAAGAAATTATTACTTTCTTAATAATTGTATTACATATATCCAAGTCATAGGTCACTGTTTAAACTATATTAGGAAGAGCTGGAGAGTAAAAGAACATGAGAATAGCCAACAGTCCAATGACCAATGCCTTGGAATAGACAAGTCAGTTCCAAGTCCTTTAGGCTGAGACAACTGGGATTGTTCAGCCTGGAGAAGAGAAGACTCTGGGGGGACCTTATAACTGCCTTCCAGTACCTGAAGGGAACCTACAGAAAGGCTGGAGAGGAACATTTTACAAGAGTGTTCAGTGATAGGACAAGTGGAAAAGGATTTAAATGAAAGGAAAACAGATTTAATTGGATCTTGGGAAAAAAATTCTTCACTATGAGGGTGACAAGACTCTGGAATAACTTATCCAGAGAAGCTGTGGATGCCCCCTCCCTTGAGGTCTTCAATGCCAGGTTGGATGAAGCCTTGAGTAACCTGGTCTAGTTGAGAGGCATCCCTGCCCATGGCAGGGGGGTTGTGTTAGATGATCTCTAACATCCCTTCCAACCTAGGCCATTCTATGATTCTATGATCTGCCAGAGGGATCCCAGGCTGCTGAAGCTTAGAGAACCCACACTTGTGCTAGGAACTTTAAACCCTTCATATTTGTTCTTCTGCAGAACATCAACATTCTGGAAATGGTGAGAAGACACGTGATGTAGCAAAACTGTTTTTCATCCAGTTCTGCTAATGCATATGTATGAATGTAATTTGCTTTAGCAGCCTAAGTTCGAAAGATTGACCACAGAAGTGCTCAACTTGAATGTTAAACATTACTTTATACAAGTTTTGTTAGAAGTTATTGCATCTTCTGATAAAACCTGAATAGAAAACCATTCTTGCATAGCTTGAATGACACACAGAGTAGAGCTC